CCCCAAAACCCCAAAACCCCAAAACCCCAAAACCCCTAATCAAGGATTATCATTGATGCTTAGTTATTTTTAGATCGCAAGTATTCGTTTTCTTGACGAAGAAATTCAATCTCTTTCTTTAGCTTAAGCACCACCTGATCTTGGTTCTGTAGAAAATGTTTAAGTTTGTACTTCAAAGCCTCCATCGCTGCATAATTCGGGTCTGTTGGAGCCTCTGGAGCAATTAGAGGCTGAGACTTTGTCATCCTTGGAGTCCCAAGCATGTACTTTACAGACTCAAATATGGGATTCTTATTCGCAGTTATTTTTGTACTGGTATCTTTATTAGTCATCGAATCTGTAGCACCAGGATGTGCTTTCTTATTAGTTCTATACTAAAACTTTATTTCCTTACATATAGACTGCATCTTTGAGGAGTCCAAGCGATTTGGTTCTCTTGGTAATTCTAGTATTTTGAGCTTCTACACAGATCCGATCTCTTATGATCCTTTTGTGCTTGTCTCTTTTTGGGTCAGTATTTAGTTGCTCTGACTCATAAACCTCTAAAGACTATCAAATTCCTGTCTTACTGGTCTCATTGTAGAAGTCTTCAGGGAACTAGAGTCGTTATTCTAAGACTTACGATTATTGGGTATTTCTCAGGCAACTTATTTCTCCTTACTTTTGTGTATCTTTCGGTCATGTCTTCCAGGTGATCTATAATGTAAGAGGTGGCATACCTCTTGGATTTTGAAGGAATAGTCTTATTTGAGATTATAATCCCCTGATCTTTTGGCTACTCTATATAATAATCTCTGTGTAGACTTACCTTTTGGAATAAGTCTTGGAATAATCACTATTGTGAATATTCGACCCTGTTTCTAAGGATTATTACAAAATGTACGCTTTCGAGAGTTCCTCCTGCTCTTTAACTTTAATTCTTTGCCTGTAATCTTATTTAGAGCTGCCGTAATCTAGCAAAATCTTTCTCTGTGAATTCTTAGTACTCTGAGGTATGATCTTTTCTTTCGAAAATCTTGATGGGATATTCCAGTTAAAAGCAACTGTTTTTCTCTTGAAAGGGGTATTATTTGATCGATTATTGTTCCTTCCTTTCGGCTTCTAAAATTATTATAAAAATATACCTGCTTGGGCTTATTCTGGGTAAGTCACTTACTAGCACCAGCAGAGCCAAGATTCTTACGGCTGCTGTTGACTCTCTTCTTTGATTTTTTCTTCTTCTTAGAGCTCCCTTTCTCATCACGAATACTAATATGATTAGGTACTTTTCCAAAATTCTTCATGATCATTTTAATAGGGAAATCAATTGTTTCTTGTGAGCTATTTCTCTATAGATGCAAGTGTGTCAGTATTCTCTCTGTCAAAGTTATCTCTACATGCAATGTTAACTACTAAGGTACCAGATCAGGTTGATGTCCTTGTTATAATCCTGGTTCTTGGTAGTCTTGGCCATACTTCAGTTGCTATAAAAATGACAATGACTAAGAAGAATCCGTACCTGATACTCCTTTTTGAAATTATGGGCTTCTTCTCCTAGGGGAATTAGGCAGGAGCTTACCTTGAAAGCAGCCTTAGGTTTTGACCCAGTCTTATTTGCAAAGGTAGGAAGCAGTGAAGAAGTCTTTCTTCATAGTGGGGTTTCTGGCTGAAGCAAGCGAGGTTGCTATACAAAATAAGCCAAAAGTCGCTAACAAGCGTGCTTACGAGACTTTAGAGTAAAATGGTCTGTATTAAGCTCAAGCTTTGGCTTAAGCTTTTTTATTTTGGTGATGCCGAAGAGTTTAGGGTCGATGTTGATTTTGTCCGTAGCCTTCATAATTAATTCAGTTTATTTTTTAAATGTGGGGTTTTGGGGTTTTGGGGTTTTGGGGTTTTGGGG